TGAGGGTTTAATCTATGCTATTGGCGCCAATAGCATAGATTAAACCCTCAGGACATCCAAGACAGGGCTGAGAGGCTTGATTGGACATTAGAGGAGGAGTTCGACCCGGTAGGCAACCAATGGAACCTGGTAAAAGGTAATCTTATGAGGCTCACAGGTCAGGTGGCACCCTTCCGAAGGGTTAGAAGGCATGGAACGCCCCCTTGGTAGCGTGCTTGTCTAGAGCGAGCGCTCAGACGCAAAGGGACAGTATGCAGACGCTACCTACAGAACAGAGGACACAGGTCTCTGTTGCACTACAGAGCGGAACGTCAACAAGCTACTCGTCTACAAATGACCGTAGATAAGCATACGAGGTGGAACTGGCNCACGGAATGCACGGAATGTACATCAACCAATTCGCACTTGATTGACGCGTAGCCGAAACTGATACAAATCCTTACATAATACACGATTGATCCGTAATGTTCTACGGTACTGGATTACAAAAATCATTACAAAATTTACAGCAAAGCAAAGCTAAAATATGCGGCCAAAAGCACTCAAGCAATCGAGAACCAAATAGGTTGTCCAACAGGAACCAACAGGTCAATCACGTTCTCTATTCACGCCAAATTGAAATGTGGCAGATATCCAGTCAACAGAAAAGTAATTGTGTGGGTGTTTGAGTGATAATACGTCAATAAACAAGTAACGCAAGAACAGAGTTACGTCAAATGTAATCATTGTGGGTTGGGAAGGATTTTCAAAAAATCAACATGAAATACACCAGCCGCCAAAATCCTTCCTGCGCTCATCTGAGTCAAAGGGTTGGAGCAGGTCACTGGTTCTTGCCTACCTATCTGCCTATCTAGTCCCTACTGTCAGTGCTTCTAACTACGAACTGTTCAACCTTTGCCGCACTCATCGATTTTGACCTCCAATGACTGACACGTTCCTTCGTCGAGATCTGTCCTTTGCATCAACAAGCTCGCAGTCAGTCACACGATAAAGATAACAGTGGGTCGAAATTCTATCATTCCAGATAAAGTCTCGATGTGTAAATAAGGGGTAAATGTGGACGGCGTAACTGTTGTTCGTGTTTACAAATGAAATCGGGTTCAGCACGTGGAGATAGTGTGTGTGTGTGTGAATGGATGAGTGTTGGTAGGACATGGGTCACATCTTCTAGGTTCATGTTATAAATGGTGTATCAACCAAAACATAAATAGACACTCAGTCACGAAAACGCGATATATAGGACATATGGTATGAAAAACTGCGTTATCCTGGTGGGGTTATCACTGGGGCGCAGTCCGTACCATGGGCCATATACGTCTATACAAAGCATGTCTCTACATCTTCAACATCTAACCGCATGGTAGTCATCTCCCTCCAATAAACACACTTCGAATGTTGCGCACCTGTTCACCGGCAGATATTTTCAATTT